CGAGCGATCGAGACCAAGGTTGGAGTGTAATTGGAGGCTAAAAAGGGTTGATAAAGATGGCAAATCTCATGATCAAGCTTTGGAATTCAAAATGTGGGAATTAACATGCAATGTAACAAGTTCCATGATTGACGGGAAGAGACTAAGTGCAAGGTCGAGCTTGCTCACTACCAATGAAATCATGCAATCAAGCGTCAAGGTTACTGGGCTACAAAGGATGATATTTGCAAGCTTAAGATCGAGTTACATGTTAGTTATAAAGGCAAAATCATGTTTGGTGAATTGGATTCAAAGTTTTGGACGATATATTGAAAAACAAGCAGTGTGGATTAAAATGAGCATAACTTTTAGCTCGGGTGTCGGATTTTCGTCCATGAGTACAATCCGAAATCGTCATGAAATTCTGTACAAGGAGGAGGAGGTTTCAAAAAATTAAAAGCTATGCGACCACATAGGCCATTTTCGAGACAAAATTGAGGCTGATTATTTGTTCTATGCGACTGCATTGATTTATACTATGCGACCACATGTACAACTTGTGGACCCAATTTTCCCAATTTCGGGAGGTGTTTTATTTATGGTAGAATTCTGTTTATCTAATATCTTTGTAATCTTTTAGAGTAATTTTCGTCCTTAATTAGTTTTTCTAGTTTTTTCATATAAATAGGAGTTATTATTTCAATTGTAAGAAAACTTCTCATATGAATAAAAATTGAGGTTTTCTCATGAAGCTTTGCTTCAATTTTCCTTGTTCTTCAATGGAAAAATTATCGAACTTATCAAGGGATTAATTTTCTTGTGACGTTAAAAAACCATTGGATGCGAATTACAACGTGTAATCAAGGTGCTTTACAATCTTCATTATTGTAGAGTTTTTTAGTTTATTGTTTTGAAATTCAAATCTACAAATCCGGGTGAGATTTCAAAGCTTTGTGATCAAGAGTTCGTTGGTTTAATATATATTCGATTGCTTGGTTCATCGTTTAAAAGTTAAATTCTAAACCTTGACCGTATTTGTGCATTCTTGGGATCCGGTGTTAGTATCTTGTGAGTTTGACAGTGACCGTGCTAACCGGATTCGCACATAAACCATCACATAAAAGGTCATTTTCAATCAAACGAGAATCATAAAACAATTCAATTATTCCATTACTAAAATTAAAAGAAAAACCAGAAGCATCAAGTTTGGATATAGAAATTAATTTCCATCTCATTGTCGATAAAAAATTGTATTCTCTAAAATAAGAAAGAAATCAGACTCCAAAGATAACTTCACTACTCCTATGAACTCAACTTTCACTTGAACTCTATTCCCAATGCACAAGCTCACTTCATTCTCACTTAGCCTTCATTTGCTTATGAACCCCTACAAAGAATTCGCAATATAAATATTAGTACCGAAACTATCCACCAAGATTTCAAATGTACATCTACAAAGGAAGACTCAAAACAAACTAAGGCCAAGGAGATACCTGCGAAACTCTTCTTCTTCTATAACCAAACCTTAAATTTAAAACAATCTTTCTGCCAATGACCATTCTATTTGCAGAACTTACATTGATCATTTTTCTTTATAATTCTTTTGGGACCACCAGAAATCTGATCTAAAAAATGTTTAGTTTGCTAATTGCGATGTGACGGAACATAGACTTATGATTATGAGAAGGCCCTCTATTTGCTAAAAGGCTAATTGCACAATTTCAACACTCTCACGCCACATCCTATACTCCTCTTGGGCATATACTGCAATAAAGTCATTCGAACCCCATTTATCTCTCTGACTATTATAAGCAACCTTAAGCTAATTAAACTGGCTAGAAAAGTTATTTAGAACATGATAAACAAGGAAAATTCATGGAATCTTAAGAGCCTTTAACTTAAAGGATATATTTATCAATCTTTTTAACGTGCTCCTAACTCTACTTGTACCATCATATCTCATATTCATCTTTTGTCCATTAGATGGCATTCACAAAACTTTTGACATTTTCATGTTTTTGGAATAGCACCCATAATGAAATTGCATATAGAACGCTTAATAATCTTCAAACAAAGTTTGTCAACCCTTCCTACTTTTCATTCTCAATCAAATATTCAGGAGTGCTCTTATCTGTAGGTTTCGAAATATGCTTCTCCATTGCAAAATCCTAGCCTAGAAAACCAAGTATTATTTTTACATCTCATTTCTATCTGACATAATTATTCTCAATCAAGGTTTCATTAGCAGTCAATTGACTCGAAAGAGATGGAGCATTTAAAATTGTGGAAACATGAAATAACATATTTAAATTATCCAAACATAATGCATGCAATCAACAGATGATAACATATCCATCTAATTAACATGGTTTATTAATTAGATAGTCCGTAATTAAAGTCAAAACCATATGAAACTTATTACGGTAAGAGCCTAGGTACATCATTATAATGTCGCCTTTTGGCTTACAATAAAACATGTTGTAAAGTACTCCTAAAACATATCATGAAGCTAATTAACAAAATAACACATTTGGGCAAAATATTGTGTGCAATGATTTTTTTTTTTTAAATGCGGTGCTATCCTTTTTCTTTTCCTTTTTTCAAGAAAAAAGAATCATTGCACACAATATTTTGCCTAAATGTGTTATTTTATGTGATGATTTGGAAAGTGGTTGTTAGTGTTTTGAAATGATAGAGCTCTTGCTTAGCATGCTAAAGACACGGGGATGGATAGCCTGTATTTTCATGTTTTTCTGAACCACAATTTTTTCCTCCCTATTGTTGTTGTTATTTTAAAGGCTCCTCTGTGTTATTTAGCCCACGTTTGATTTATCTGAAACTGCTGATAAAGATTGTGGATCTCATGAAATATATTATTAAAATTAGTTGTTGACTTTAACTCGAATTTTTATCAACCTTTTGACCATACATTTCATCAATGGGTAATCGACACAAAACGTTCATACCTTTCATGTCTATTGTGAAAAACATCTCTACCTTTCATTTTTTGGCATTTTTTCCCCTACCTTCCACCTTTCTTGGCGCTGAACGTTCTTTTCGCTAATTTGGGACAATTCTACCCTCCATTTAAATAAAACAAAAAGAAATGAAAGAAAATAACAAATAACTAATTGCAACCACAGCGCTCAATTTTTAAAAAAAAATTACAAATCAGTCACAAATATATACAAAATTTTCAGCATAGGTGCCAACAACACTTGACGTATAATGCTTCTTTTTTCGAATTTCATTTTCATGTGTTTAGGCTGAGCCTCTTTCATCTCGTTCTCTTCGTCTTTGTCATTTTCCTCTCTCCACTAAGTGGATCTTGGGCCAATTTCATCTCTTCTTCACTTGTACAAAAGGGTATCTAGAATTTTGTTAGTGTTCTCTTTCTAGGTTTTCTAAATCATAGCTTAGAACAATAGTAGATTGATCTTTCCTCTTGAATTTTTGATCTTCATCGTTCTGCTTTTGGGTATTTTTTTTTTTTTAAGATTTTCAATTGGATTTGTGCTTATTTTTCGATTATAGTGATAATTTGAGGTTGGGATTTGCATTTGAAACATTAAATTTCAAGTTTAAGGAATTTTATTTTGGAACTGGGCTCCATTTGATTCACAAGGAGTGTACTGCAGCTTCTAAGACCGTGTTCTCCACATTGAGGTATCAAAATTAAATTAGATAATAATATTAATAATTACAATGATAATATTTCTTTTACTTCTGTTAATGCCTTCGCATGAATGAACTTTTGCAAAATATTTTTATATAATTTAAGATCCAAAAATTACTGGATGGGCTACTGTTCTACATGTTGATCTTGGCATCTCTGATTTGAAAATTTGGAAATCGATCTGTTAAATCATTTTTCTTGATTTGTTGGCGAAATAGGTGAAGGGCTTGTCAAGTGAAAGTGAGGAAAAGATGATATCCAAAAATAGCGTAGATTTAACATACATTGAGGAAGATACTAGTGGAGGAAATGTGGGTGGGCACCACTTAAAAAAGGTCCCTGGACATCTGTAGAAGATGTCATTTTAATTGAGTACGTTACCGAGCATGGATAAGGGAATTGGAACGCAATCCGGAAGCACTCGGGGTTGGCTCAGTGTGGAAAAAGTTGTTGCTTGAGGTGGACGAACCACCTAAGACTAGATCTAAATAAAGGTGCATTCACTCCAAAGGAGAAACTTCGTGTCATTGAAAATTTTGTATATATTTGTCATTAATTTGTAATTTTTTAAAAATTAGGGGCTGTGATTGCAATTAATTATTTGTTGTTTCATTTTATTTCTTTTTGTTTAATTTGAATGAATGGTAAAATTGTCCAAAATTGGTGAAAATGGTGTTCAGCGCTAAGAAAGGTGAAAGGTAAGGATAAAAATACCAAAAAATGAAAGATAGAGACGTTTTTCACAATAGACATGAAAGGTAGGAACGTTTTGTGCCAATTACTCTTTCATCAATCTTTACGGAGAATATGGGCATAATAAGTAATAATGGCACAAAAATTTCCGGAGTTTTAGCTCTTATGAGACTGAATTTTCTTGACCCCACTCTAAAGGTAGGATTGTTCAGGTGGCGTGGAACTCAATTTTATCTCTTCTCTTATTCATATCACTATCTTCGCCCTCTCCCTCATTTTAATGGATAGCATTCATTAATTCAAGAGCAGGCTGGAATGCTTGATGGGTTCAAATTCCTGATTTTTTCCTAGCAGCAGATCCCATTAACCCATAAACCGAGCCATAAATAAGTGGTCTTCAGAGTTGAAGTCTTACAGCTTTGAGACGAGGTGATTGATTGACAATACGAAGAGAAGAATAAATTTGAATAAAGTATTTAAAGATATTTTTTGTCTCATAAATATTAAATTCTACTATTTAGTATGCATACTAGATTACTATTATAGCTTGATTTTTAGCTTAAATTCCTTCCCTACACTGCAGTATTGAAATGGAGTTCCAATTTCCATCGAGGCAAATTACATATTGACCATTCTGACAATGATTTGAACGAACAAAATCACTATGAGACTGCATAGGCAAAATAAAACATATTGTACATTTTTGAACAACACAGTACATTACAGCTTAATCAACCTTGTGAATAAAGAGTTACATAGATCTTTCTTATTTGTTTTTGAAACGCTTGGGAATACACAATACATTACGAAAACCACTTTCTCTCGATGCCACTGGCTTTTGCAGATCTTCCTATAGTAATTAAGTAGTAATCCCCGGACAGAGTTGCTCACTGTAACTTAAGATTCTTCAGAAGCCTGTTTGCAGAAATGAATATACGAATAAATGAGAATGAATATTGAATGCATATCCAGTTTGTATTAGTTAGATTAATCGTAAAGATCAAATTTTGACGAAGGGTATATATGGTATATATAGAAAAATTGGCTGTAAAAGATGCAAATATATAAAAAGTAAATCCCATCTCACCGCTAACGAATTAAGCGTTTAGATAAAGCGACAGTCTTGTTTTTGCTTACTTGAGTAGGCAATGAAATTTCGTAGATGTTAATGATAAACATCCCGTCTACGGTCTATAGCAGATTCCAACACAAGCCAACATTTTCTGGTTATAGTGTTGTTATCTATGATGCATCAAAACATAAATAACTGGGAAAGAAGTATTATGTTTTTAATGAGGTGTCCTAAACTAGACCATGTGCTATGATATAAAACAAGTAGGATTAAATTTCATGTGGTCTCTTTTAGGTATATGAATAGATTATACTTAATATAATAGTATCAATGACAAGTTATAGAGTTCAAGAAGTCTTAAAATGTCTCCTCCAGAAAATAAGAAGAAAATACATTTGTCAATATAGAAGTTTTTTTTAACCCTCCGTGCTCATGTTTTCTCAATTTGACACTTGGATATTGGATCTCTTCTCAGATTTTCATTTTCTTTGACACGAATATGATTAATCTAGTACTAAGAACGTGCAAATTAGTGTTTTGAGAGGAATCTTAATACATTAAGAATCCAGTTTAATTCAATGGACAGTGCAGAGAAAATTAGTTTGCCTTGTATGTGAGGAGTTGAAGTGGGGTACAATACCTCTGTTCTTGCCATATCCTCTACCATTGTTTGGAATAGACCTGTAATTAGGTATTGGTACTTGATCAGTTTCTATCTGCATGATGTCCTTGACTAGGGCCTCATAATGCCTCCTCACTTCGTCTGCTGATTTCTCGCCTACTGCCCGTGCTATGTTGTGCCAGCGGTCTGGTGTGTCCTTGTCATACCGTGCCAAAGCCTCCTCAAATAGCTTGTTCTGTCTAGGCGTCCATGAGGAGCTTCGTGTAGACGAAAGAGAGGATGATGCCATAAGTAAAGCAAGATATATTCGTCTAGGAAATGAGACACAAACTTGAAAGTGCGCCTAAATAAAAAGGAAAGGAAGTTTTTGGTTGAAGGGAGAAGCGAAGAGTTGCCTCAGTCAAGGGAGAAACACAAGTCAAGTCGAAGGTGTTTTGGTTAGAAATTTCAACATAAAGTTGCCTATATAGAGAAGAAAAGTTGATGGCAATGGGAGAGTGCAAGTTGACGAATATTTTTTTTATCTTTTTGTAAGAGGTACATATAAAAGATGTGATTCGTGTGCTTAGGGGTCACAACATGGGGCAAAGTGAAGAAGGACAAGGGACAAGCTTTTTGTTGAATTCTTGAAAAGTCATTTTCTAGCCTTATATAATATCAAGATAAGCAAGTGGATTACTTGATAAATTCTACATAGCTGGTGGGGATTAGATCCCTCTTAATTCAAAGTTCCCACAAGTTAAGAAAGATGCGCCAACATGTGGAAATCGTCACACTTCATTAGAGAAATTCTCAAGATATTCTATCATCTTTTTGTGGGATATTGTAGCCTTAATTTTGTCTATTGCATCATTTTCTTAGTTGTCTTTTTCATTAATTTTCATGTAAAAAAATCAGTTCAGCTCAACGCCTGGGGCCAGCACCCGAGTGATGGAGATCGGAATCGAAGACAACTTAAAGAAACATCATTGATGACACAACAGAAGAACTCCTTAATTTCCCTTAGTAGCAATACTATGTCAATCAACCAATTAAGAGGGTGACAAGACAGCTTAAGTTACAAGCAGCAATACTATGCATCATCATGACTCCATCATAGTCACCCTTACCAACCAGTCGAATTCCATCAAAACAAATTACTAGGTTGGAACATTGTAAGTTGATATTATGGGGGCGGCTTATTTTTGTTCACCTACCTATATAAAGGGGCGAAGGTTACATGAAAGGAGGAGGCCGAACTGGACAATTGTAACAGTCCAGCATTATAACATTTTTATTTAGTTCAAACTCATAAAAGTTTATGAAAGATTATCATGCCAATTTGTAACGTCACCAAATCTCATAGACCTAAATTATCAGTATAAATTCGATGGAATTTCATTCATTTTATAAATTGCACCTCTGGATTATACCTAGGCGATGTTGGACATGCTTTTACAGTGGAACCTTTTCCTTTTTCCAAATAAAATGACTGTATCCTATATTTCCCCTTCAAAGTTACGATTTAGGCATAAAACCACTGTACTCCAAAACAACCCCCCCAAAATAATAATAATAATAATAAATAAAATAAAATATAAATTCATCACCGCTTCAAATTTCAATGTTTTGTTCCCTTTATAATATCTAATCTTGAAGGTTATCTGTCAGTTTTGGTTGGAAAATGGGTGAGTTTATCATGTTGATGGCAACATTCCAAAGGTTTCTATCCCTATATCGTACTTAACTCTTATCAGTCAGGATATTTTGTCATCAGAGGGAACCCCTATTCATTTTATGTCAGTTCTTGCTTAGATTTTACTGTTATTACTTAACTGAATAAAGCTGAGCTTAGGTAGGCTAGAGCCACTCTCAAAACATGAGCTCATGAGCCATTGATTCTCTATCCGGGCAGTTCACACTTTGTTTCAGGTTATATGAGTTAAAGCGACCCCTATATGTTTTGGAGAATTTCTCGAAAAATTTTGGACAATAGAATTTGGGTTGGAGGCGAGCACAGGGATCCAAATTTTTTATTCAGTTCATTTGTTCCCTCAACGATTGATCAACTTGATTTGTAAGAATATATTAGGCATTCATCTTTGCATTAAGTCACCATATATATATATATATATATATATAGAATGCTCTAACTTCCTACACTACTAGATGAATTTGAAAGGCTTTTTGAAAAAAATTATTGAGAGGTATTTTCCCGTAGTTTTTAAATCCAATCAACTATCCATCCAGTCAAGGCACGAGCAAAATAGATAAATGTTTGATGTCATGGTTGACTCAATAGATCACTAAATGGATCGTCGTTTCATTAAATATCAATAAAAATATTTAAGAAATAATTAATAATATAATATTACAACTATCCAATAAATAATTAATTATATGGTGCTGTTTAATTCTTATAGTTTTATTTGAACGTTAAAATAAATAAATAAGTATCATGCTTCACATTTTGACTATCATAAAACAACACAAATTTCCAGAACATATTCTGTGACAAAATTGTGACAAATCAATTTACTTTATGATTTTTCGTTAATTTTACTCAGTAATCAACAAAAGATGCACTTTTTAATCCCAAACTAAAACAAAGTTAAGTAGATTGACGCATGAGAAACTTCGCCTAAAGTTGGGTGATTAACGTTGTATGACTCCTTCCTTCTACGACTCATGACGTTGCAGGCAAATAATTTAGTGAAAATTACTTTCCATACTAACTATTTTCCCCAAAATTGAAATTTATTGATTTTTAAAATATTGGGAATATATATTGTGTTTTTACTACATGACCTATTAATGAAAAGAAAGAATGTGACATTTTATATTATTTTGGAGAAGTACTACGTCTACATAATTGTCTAGATGTCCATAATTATATGTGGTACTGGATCTAACCTTTAATTCAAATCTCACACTTTTACATCAACAACCAGATGATTGACACATCACATTATGGACAACATTATGTACATGTAAACTTTTCCATTAATTTATGATATGAAGATAGAATGTGGGTTTTTAACTAAACAGTAACAAGGAATGCAACTTTTTTATGTGTGCGTTTTTTTAGCTATGGTACGTGATTCAATATTTTTCATATATACATTACTTTAAACACTCATTAATTTAATTGAATCTGAGAATTTAACCATCAAATATTCATTGATTTAATTGGGAGAATTGAGAAACTTTCAAAGACAAAGACAAAATCTAGAAAACTAATATGAATTAATCTCCTAATAATTAAAACAAGAAAATAAATAAATAAAATTCAATTCCTATCTTAATAATAAAAGTTCTAATTTGACATAATGAAATATGGCCACAAAATTGCTAGGCTCAAGCCCATGAGTTCAACTTAGTGGCTCATTTCTACTTTAAAAAAATAAATTGTGATATTATTAATCCAATTACGATTGAGTGAATTGCATCGGATAATTTAGATCATTTACGAGTGCAAGACATGAGGAAAATGAAAGTAACTAGTACTTTAGAGTGGAATGGAGCCTGGTTAAATTGGGATTCTACTCTACAAATATCAGTCAAGTACCAATTGATTTGCCAAAATATTCCCCTTGTTTGGAACCACTTAAACATTCTCTAACTTTCAATTGGTTTTCCTGCGTGGAATCAATACCTAATCGTACCAAATCTCTAATTTCATCGGGATCAAACAAAAATTGCTTTTAATCTTATGGAATGTTTCATAACCAAATTGATTCCCTTCTTTATTTTGAAAAATGACACACTACTAGTTCTTATGCTCTGTGTTAGACCTCGCTAAGGAGACTGTGGATTCAACCAACCATCAACAAAACATAAAATAGCACACAAGAAGAACAAATAGATAGAAGACTCGTTTAAAAATCTCAAACCATTCGCCAACTACAAGGTGGCTACATGCAGTCAACAAGAGAATTCATTGATTGTATTTAAGGTTAATCTTCGATTGTAATTTTTTCATCATTAAATTTGTTTGATTTGATTTTTACCGTTAACACTTGGGTATTAACAAGTTTCAAATAATTCGATGAATAGTCAAAATTTGTCCTCAAAGTTGAACTCCAGCTTTTCAAAATTTAACCAGTTAGAGCCGAACTATATGTGTTCATTTATGTCTTTCTTTTTCTTTTGTTAAAAGTCTAACGCATGCACAAGTTTAATGAACACCCGTGGCTCGGCTCGAGGCTCGAGGCTTGGGGGAATTGATCCCCATTTTTGAATGCTGGGCAAAGCCCGTGTGGCTCACCGGCTCTGGCTCATGGGCCTATATTAGTATTGAAAAAAATATATATATATATAATTTATAAGACAGCAACATGCTGCCTCAGCGTGCTATTGCCTTATCAAATAATTTAAGGCAGCCTCTTGTCACGGATCGTAACGAAACTAGGTCCGTGACACTCTGCTGCCTTCATTAACTGTAATAATAATAAAACAAAAACCAAAACTGAGCTCAGCCCATCTCGGCTCGGAAAGGTTCGAGTCTAAAGCTCAAGTTGACCTAAGGATGGCAAAAATGCTTGTTGGCTCGGGCCGCTCGTGGCCCTGCCCGCAAAAAGCTCGAGCCGGCTCGACTCGAGGCTCAATTTCACCGAGCCCCATCTTGGGTACAGGCCGAGCCGGAGCCGGCCCGTGTGGCTCGAGGGCCGACTCAAGGAAAAAAAAAGGGAAAGGCAGCGTGGCTGCTGCCTTTAAACAAAGGCTTGCCTTTCCAAGAACAATTTTCTCTCCCAAAAGTACGTAATTTTTTAATCATTAGCCTTTCATTTTGTTCGTTGTTATGACTGATTAATTAGTCTCCCGTTATCTGAATTCGTTAAAAGAATAAAACCCACTAATTAGATTTTTATGGGATTAAATTGAAATAAAGTTTTTGATTTTTTTTTTTATCTTTATATTTCTTGTTTCAGTTAGTTGCATCATATTGTTAGTCTGGTTAGTTTCCTTTCTTTCATTAAACGCACATGATTATATGGATCGTTGATTGAGTTATCTAAATATAATTGTATGTTTTCTTTTTTGGCTGTAGGATGAAATATTGGTATAATATTCTAATTCAAAATATACATATAGTTTCCATAGTTTTCGACGCCTCTTTAAATTAATTGTTGGTCACAAAGCTTTAAAAATAATGTGAAGACCAAGGATTCCTGAACAAATTAATTTTCTTCCTTATATTTGGGAGTTTGGGGAGTTTCTTGATTTCATTTAGAGTTTGTACATATACTGGCTTTTGGCTATTAGAAGAAGTTTAATAAAATGGATTCCCTGTTGCTTTTCCTTCCTAATATAATTTTAAAATCTTCTATCTTGAAGTGTCCTGTTACAGTCTTGATGTCAAGATACTCTTATGAAATGATTAAGAATTACGGTTATTTGGGAACATTATCAATTCGTAGCCTATGTGACATACCTCATCAATG